TATTTTAAGAAAAAGAGGATAAATAAGTATACAAGATATGATGTAGGGCGAAATGACAGTAGTTTGTTGGATTATGTATTGGTAGATAAAAGACAGTTGAGTAGACTTCAGGATGTATATGTTTATAGAGGGGCCACAGATATATCAGATTACTTTTTAGTTGCAGCTACAATGAGAGTAAAAGGCAGATGGGATACAAGGAGAACAGAAGCATCAGGGAAGAGAGAGGTGAAGGTTTATAAACTAAAAGAGGAGGCAGTTAGTGTAAGATATAAACAGCTATTGGAGGATAGATGGGCTAATGAGAGCATAGGCAATGGGGTCGAAGAGGTATGGGGTAGGTTTAAAAATGTAGTGTTAGAATGTTCAGCAAAAGTTTGTGGTTACAGGAAAGTGGGTGCGGGAGGGAAGAGGAGCGATTGGTGGAATGATAATGTAAAGAGAGTAGTAAGGGAGAAAATGTTAGCATATGAGAAGTTTTTACAAAGTAGAAGTGATGCAAGGAGGGAAGAGTATATGGAGAAAAAAAGAGAGGTTAAGAGAGTGGTGAAGCAATGTAAAAAGAGAGCAAATGAGAGAGTGGGTGAGATGTTATCAACAAATTTTGTTGAAAATAAGAAAAAGTTTTGAAGTGAGATTAACAAGTTAAGGAAGCCTAGAGAACAAATGGATTTGTCAGTTAAAAATAGGAGAAGAGAGTTATTAAATGGAGAGTTAGAGGTATTGGGAAGATGGAGGGAATATTTTGAGGCATTGTTAAATGTTGATGAAGATAGGGAAGCTGTGATTTCGTGTTTAGGGCAAGGAGGAATAACATCTTGTAGGAGTGAGGAAGAGCCAGTTGTGAGTGTGGGGGAAGTTCGTGAGCCAGTAGGTAAAATGAAAGGGGGTAAGGCAGTTGGGACTGATGGGATAAAGATAGAAATGTTAAAAGCAGGTGGGTATATAGTTTTGGAGTGGTTGGTGCTATTATTTAATAAATGTATGGAAGAGGGTAAGGTACCTAGGGATTGGCAGAGAGCATGCATAGTTCCTTTGTATAAAGGCAAAGGGGACAAAAGAGAGTGCAAAAATTATAGGGGGATAAGTCTGTTGAGTATACCTGGTAAAGTGTATGGTAGAGTTATTATTCAAAGAATTAAGAGTAAGATGGAGAATAGGATAGCAGATGAACAAGGAGGCTTTAGGAAAGGTAAGGGGTGTGGACCAGGTGTTTACAGTGAAACATGTAAGTGAGAGGTTTTTGTGGCATTTATGGTTTTGAAAAAGGCGTATGACAGGGTGGATAGGGGGGGGGGGCAATGTGGCAGATGTTGCAGGTGTATGGTATAGGAGGTAGGTTACTGAAAGCAGTGAAGAGTTTTTACGAGGATAGTGAGGCTCAAGTTAGAGTATGTAGGAGAGAGGGAGATTATTTCCCAGTGAAAGCAGGCCTTAGACAAGGATGTGTGACGTCACCGTGGTTGTTTAATATATTTATAGATGGGGTGGTAAGAGAAGTAAATGCGAGGGTCTTGGCAAGAGGTGTGGAGTGAAAAGATAAAGAATCACACATAAAGTGGGAGTTGTCACAGTTGCTCTTTGCTGATGACAGTGTGCTCTTGGGAGATTCTGAAGAGAAGTTGCAGAGGTTGGTAGATGAATTTGGTAGGGTATGTAAAAGACGAAAATTAAAAGTGAATACAGGAAAGAGTAAGGTTATGAGGATAACAAAAAAATTAGGTGATGAAAGATTGGATATCAGACTGGAGGGAGAGAGTATGGAGGAGGTGAATGTATTCAGAAATTTGGGAGTGGACGTGTCAGCGGATGGGTCTATGAAAGATGAGGTGAATCATAGAATTGATGAGGGGAAAAGGGTGAGTGGTGCACTTAGGAGTCTGTGGAGACAAAGAACTTTGTCCTTGGAGGCAAAGAGGGGAATGTATGAGAGTATAGTTTTACCGACACTCTTATATGGGTGTGAAGCATGGGTGATGAATGTTGCAGCGAGGAGAAGGCTGGAGGCAGTGGAGATGTCATGTCTGAGGGCAATGTGTGGTGTGAATATAATGCAGAGAATTCGTAGTTTGAAAGTTAGGAGGAGGTGCGGGATTGCCAAAACTGTTGTCCAGAGGGCTGAGGAAGGGTTGTTGAGGTGGTTCTGTCGTGTAGAGAGAATGGAGCGAAATAGAATGACTTCAAGAGTGTATCAGTCTGTAGTGGAAGGAAGGCGGGATAGGGGTCGGCCTAGGAAAGGTTGGAGGGAGAGGGTAAAGGAGGTTTTGTGTGCGAGGGGCTTGGACTTCCAGTGGGTATGCATGAGCATGTTTGATAGGAGTGAATGGAAATAAATGGTTTTTAATACTTGACGTGCTGTTGGAGTGTGAGCAAAGTTACATTTATGAAGGGATTCAGGGAAACCGGCAGGCCGGACTTGAGTCCTGGAGATGGGAAGTACAGTGCCTGCACTCTGAAGGAGGGGTGTTAATGTTGCAGTTTAAAAACTGTAGTGTAAAGCACCCTTCTGGCAAGACAGTGATGGAGTGAATGACGGTGAAAGTTTTTCTTTTTTGGGCCACCCTGCCTTGGTGGGAATCGGCCAGTGTGCTAATAAAAAAAATAAAAAATACATCGACACCATGCCTACCCCTTCTTGGGTAGGGTAGGTGCCTGAGCCTGAGCTTGCAGCTCATAAGCCTGTCATTCCCATTAGCCCCCTTGGGGTGGGAATGGCAGACCAGAGAGGCCTAGCTTCTCCCTACGAGAAGCTAGGCCTGGGGACAGTTGGTCCCAAAGATGAGGGGATACTTGTGCCTCCTCCCATGGGAGACTTAGGTCTCAGACACTCCCTAGACAGAGAGCCAAGGCCGGGCCACCACTTGGAAAAGGTCCAGGCCGGGAGAAATACCCGCGAATCTTTAATAATAATAATAATTTTGTGTTAAGCTCTTCACATATTTCCTGGTCACTCTTTGTGAGTTTCCCCGTCTTGGCTTCCTTAGCTTCATTACCTGGCCCTTGACTGTTGTTTTCCTCCTAATGTGGCTGTATAACAACTTTGATCAAGATTTGGCTTTTGATGCTATGTCATTCTTATTTTCCCACTGGGCCTCTCTCCTTATTCATGCATATTCGTTTCGGGTTCTTCTGTTCAACTCCTTGTTTTCTTGAGTCCTTTGTCTTCTGTAAATTTTCCATGCACTAGCACACTTGGTTGTGGCCTCTTTATACCTCCAGGTAAACCATGGTCTCACTCTGGTCTTTCCTTATTTTCTGTTATCCTTTGGTATGAACTCCTCTGCCTCCCTGCAGTTTTTGCTCACGTGTTCCATCATTTTATTTACTGTTTTCTCTCTTGTTCTCTTTCCCACTGCAACTAAAGCAGGAATCTCCTTATGCCCATGTAGGCCTCTTTTTTGAAAATTGGCTTCTCCTATCCTTCTCGTGCTGCTTCATTTTCCACTATTAACTGTACAAGGTATTCAGAACTCAGGACCACATGATCACTAGTGTCAGGGAGTTTTTCATGTGTAATATCCCTATGTCTAAACTGTTCAAAGTGAATACAAAGTCCAGCCTTGCTGGAACATCCTCTCGTTTCTCTCTGGTTTTATCCCTAATATGTTGGTGCATGAAGTTTTCTAATACTGTCTACAGCATCTTAGCCCTCCACGTTTCTGGTCCCCCATGTGGCTCTAGGTTTTCCTAATCAGTCTCCTTGTGATTAAAATCCCCCATGACGAGTAACTTGGTCCTACCCATGTGGGCCCTTTGGCCACCTTGGCTAGTGTATCCACAATTGCTGTATTGCTCTCATCATATTCTTGTTCTGGTCTCTTGCTGTTCAGTGGTGGGTTGTATGTCATTACTATCATCAACTTTGGATTCCCGGTCTGAAGGGTTCCTACTATGAAGTCATCTGCTTCCCCTCTATCCAATCTTCCTGTTTCCTCAAAACTCCACTGGTTTGTGATGAGCAGTGCAGCTCTTCCTCCCCCCCCCCACTGTTCCCTCAGTCTTTCCTCAGGATTTGATATCTATTTGGAAAGATCACATCTGCTATCATCCCCTTGTCTCTGTGAGTGCTATGATGTCCAGGGATGACTCAGTGATTCGTTCTTGCCACTCCTCAATCCTATTTGTTATTCCATCTGTGTTGGTGTATCATACCTTCAACTTCCTTTCCAGTACTGTATTTTGGGAGGAGAGAGAAGTTGGTGCAGACTGGAGGTGTGGAAGGCCGAGCAGGATATTATGAAAGGCTGTTGTGATGATGGTATTAATGTTGGGGGGGGGGGAAGCTGTGGAGTGTGGTTTGTTTCTACTTACTGTGTTTGGTTGGTATGGGGTGGTAATGGGTTGAAGGATTTCTGTGACCCTTTATGTTTGGTGTTCCTCCTGAGGCTGAGCTTTCCTTTCTGTTGATGCCTGTCCTGCCTCTCTGTCCTTTCACTGGTGTCTTCTTACTCTCACTCTTAGTTGTTCCCATTCTTTTTGTGTTTTGTTGTGGTTGAGGTACACTTGCTGATATTCTCATATTTTCATATTTTCAAATTTTATTTTGTAGTATCCTGTTCTGTACTACTTCTATTTTGATTGTCAGTTTGTCTGGGCATTTTTTTTCCTTTGAATACCCCCAAGTCTGTGAAAATTTGTTACCTGGGACATGTCCTTCTCTCCCATTATTGCAATGATGCTCTCAGTAACTTTTTTCCTCCCAATATCTTCTTTCATCATAGGTCGTCCCTTCAGCCTTTTGAAGCCCATGAATAATTATTGTCTCCTCCCTCTCTTCTTCTCTTCTTGTGTGTGTGTGAGTGTGTGTGTGTGTGTGTGTGTGTGTGTGTGTGTGTGTGATTTATCCTTTACTGAAAATAACAAACTTAATGGATATCATAAGTTGAGGTGCACAGATTACTATTTAAAATTCTTTCATATCTTAAGACAATTGTTCAGATGACTTTATATTACCTGATATCTACTGTATATAGTTGTATTATAAGGTGAACCGTTGACAGGAACCCCAACCTGCCAACCCCGCAGCGGTACAAGACCCCGGGGGTCAACCTTAACTGGGAAGAGAATATGAAGACGATGTGGCCAGCATACGAGAAGCAACTCCAGCAGTACCTCCATATTGGTAAAGTGTTGCTGTACTGTAGTAGTAGTAGTAGTAGTAGTAGTAGCAGCAGCAATAGTAGTAGTAGTAGTAGTAGTAACAGCAGCAGTAGTAGTAGTAGCATCAGCAGTAGTAGTAGTAGTAGTAGCAGCAGCAATAGTAGTAGTAGTAGTAGTAGTAGTAGCATCAGCAGTAGAAGTAATAAAAGTAGTTGTAAAACCCTATAAAAAATGGTTATAACTATGACCATAATTTTTAAAGGGATGGATCAGTAAGCCAGGGGAAGGCTTCGGTCAGATGACCATAAGCCCCAACGGCGGGTCATCATCTAAGACCTGCGTCAGGAAACACTTGTCCTGTTTCCTGACGAACCTTACCTAACCTAACCTAGCAGTAGTATAACGAGCTTATTTTGGTAGGCTGTAAGCGGGTAGTAAATGACAAATCTTCTTAGGAGGCTTCTTTGTTTATTGTTAATGTCGTGGTGGGTACACAGGCTTGTGTGTTTGTGCCCATGGCCCGGGCAGGGCCATCCCACGAGAGAGAGCTGGAAGGCCTTGTGTCTTGCTGCTAGGCCGCTGTGTGAGTGGAGGGTGAGGCAAGTCTGGGCATACTGAAGTGGCAAGGCCTCTAGGTGGCAGCACCAGCATGGCGCGAAATATGAACTAAGCTGGCAGACAGTACAGGCTGTCTACATATGCTCGGCCACCTACCGCGCATCGTCCCGACGCGACAATACTGGTGGTAAAAGAAACTCGGTCTCTCTCTCGTAGGAACAGGGCACAGAACACAAAATAAAAACATATATATACATATGAACATGGAAAAAAAAACTTCCTACAGGGAGGGAAGAATAAAACATGTGGGGTGTGCTAAACATCGTGGTCAAAGGCAGTGAGCGTCGATGGGCATCACTGCACGCCTTCCTGCGTCTGGACAGATACTGCAACACAGGAGACATCGCTGCGGCTGAGCTGTGACGTAACAGGGTACAGTCTCCTCTGGAATGGTGAAGCAATCATCGTAGGAGTCGCTGCAGGTTTCACTCAACCTGGGGCATGACATGCTGGTGCCCTCGAGTGAGGCATCGACAAAACTCGGCAACTGGGCAGGACTTCTGGCAAGCGACTCAGGAGGACACTTCTCGACTGGTACTGTCGCTGGGCTGTCACTGCCGGCGAGTGTGGAGTGAGTTGTGGAGCGAGTCGTGGCAGAGACGACTGGGCGAAACATCTGGGAATCGTAACATCATACACCAGACTGCAGTGAGAGAGCTAGCAGTCAAAGTGACATCATCTTTGTGCAGGCTGCTCACTGAAGCTTGTGACACGAGGCTGACACAGCGCCTGCCGACAGGCCTAACTGCGGCTTGGCGAGTATCATCTCTCCACAGTTGGAGTTATAGCAGAGGTTAGTCTAAGCATCCCCAGACTTTTCTCTACATATAACTGCACTCTGGCAGTCTGGAGGTGAAGTGAAACAAATCTCGATGGGAATCGTAGCAGGTACGATTCTGCAGAACATCACGAGCGACGAGCATAAAAGCTTTCTGTACAAGAAGGCTCGGTCACTCGGGGCTGTCTTGACATCAGCTGTCAAACACACTGGTCACACGGGTGACTTAACACAGTGGTGCTACTCAGGTCTGGCTCAGACCTCACTGGACACATGGAAACTTGAACACACCATGGTACATACGGTACACTAACATGTGAGAACACTGACTGAGAGGAATTAATTAACACACGACATATATTTTCTCTCAATCTTCTCGACAATATTAAAATAATTACTAGAAACACTCGATGTGACATCATGTGATGTCAGCCGTGATGACGTCAGCAGCACTGACATCAGCAGACATCTCGAGGTGACGTCAGCAGACATCTCGAGGTGACGTCAGCAGACATCTCGAGGTGACGTCAGCAGACATCTCGAGGTGACGTCAGCAGACATCTTGAGGTGATGTCAGGCAGACATCATGACATCATGAAGTCGGGCAGCATCGTGGGTGACGTCAATGTGATGCGGGCAGCAGACCACAGCATGTGGCCTGGGACATCTGGTAACTCACGTAGCTCGTAGGTCTACGTGACATCGCCCACACCCACGTGGCATCGCGATCCACGTGGCGTCGTGATCTACATGGCATGCTGGTCCACGTAGCTTCGAGTGGCCTCGGGCACTCGGATACACAGCTCTGGCAATGAATTCACATGGAAAACAGCAGAGGGAGTGGGCAGTGGTGAGTGGTGTATGGTAGACGGGTGAGCGTGAATAGGGCGAGCATGGGCAAGGTGAGGAACAGCCACTTCCTCTGCTCTCCTCCCCCACCCACAAATACGTAGAGAACTCACACTGGACGCAGAAATCACCACAAAACTCACCTCTGGCTTGCTGAAACGGCTATGCTGAGCTGAACAACAACAACAGCAACATACAAGTGATGCTGAACACGTGACTTGAGAAACAGCGTGGGACACTGTAACGTGGAGTCACTGTAGCGTGGGGTCACTGTGACGCCACTTACAATTCTCGGAGAATTTCGGCATATTTCGGCCTGGATCCTGCTTGTACCTGTGTCTGGATGCTCAAACGTGCAGACACGACATCAGGATAACTTGTTGAGAGACGGATGCTTCTTGCATGGGATGATGAAGTGAAGATGACTTCATCCCTCTTCCTTCCTCGCTTTGGGCAAACACACTGCTGCGACCACCGCTGGTACCAATATAACGGGTTATTTTGGTGTTCTAGTAGCGGGGAGTAAATGATACGTCTTCGGAGGCTTCTTACTTTATTGTTAAGTCGTTGTGGGTACACAGGCTTGTGTTGTGCCCATGGCCCGGGCAGGGCCATCCCACGAGAGAGAGCTGGGAGGCCTTGTGTCTTCCTGCTGGGCCGCTGTGTGAGTGAGAGTGAGGCAAGTCTGGGCATACTGAAGTGGCAAGGCCTCTAGGTGGCAGCACCAGCATGGCGCGAAATATGAACTAAGCTGGCAGACAGCAGGGGCTGTCTGCACAGACAGTACAGGCTGTCTACATACGTAATAGTAGTAGACGTAGTGGTAGCAATAATAGTATAGTAACAGTAACAGTACAGTAGCACTAGTAACAGTAATAAAGATAAAATCTGTTTGGATTTTTAACCCAGAGGGTTAGCCACCCAGGATAACCCAATAAAGCCAGTGTATCATCGAGGACTGGCTCTCTTATTTCAACTGGAGTCCTTTAATCTTGTTCCCCCAGGATGCGACCCACACCTGTCAACTAACACCCAGGTACCTACTAACTGCTAGGTGAAAAGGGACAGCAGGTATTAGGAAACATGTCCAGTGTTTCCACCCATGCCGAGAACTGAACCACGGACACTCAGTATGTGAGATGAGTAGTAAGTAGTAGTAGTAGTAGTAGTTGTAGTAGTAGTAGTAGTTGTAGTAGTAGTAGTAGTAGTTGTAGTAGTAGTAGTAGTAGTTGTAGTAGTAGTTGTAGTAGTAGTAGTAGTTGTAGTAGTAGTAGTAGTAGTTGTAGTAGTAGTAGTAGTTGTTGTAGTAGTAGTTGTAGTAGTAGTAGTAGTAATAGTAGTAGTAGTAGTAATAGTAGTAGTAGTAGTAGTAGTAGTTGTTGTAGTTGTAGTAGTAGTAGTTGTAGTTGTAGTAGTAGTTGTAGTAGTAGTTGTAGTTGTAGTAGTAGTAGTAGTAGTTGTAGTAGTAGTAGTAGTTGTTGTTGTAGTTGTAGTAGTAGTTGTAGTAGTAGTAATAGTAGTAGTAGTAGTAGTTGTAGTAGTAGTAGTTGTAGTAGTAGTAGTAGTAGTAGTAGTATTTGTAGTAGTAGTAGTAGTATTATTATTTGTAGTAGTAGTTGTAGTAGTAGTAGTAGTAGTAGTAGTATTTGTAGTAGTAGTAGTATTTGTAGTAGTAGTAGTAGTAGTAGTAGTAGCAGTAGTTGTTGTTGTAACAATAATAATCATAATAACAGTAACTGAGATCAGGTCTCCGAGTTGAACGATAATTTATGCATTAAAATGTCTAATTTAAGTATGTTTTATGTCGTGTATATGGTAAGAAACAATGTAATCTACCATGACCCAAGATAACTCAGCCTAAAACAACCTAATATAACCTAACTTACTCTGAAATTAGTAGAAGTACAAATGGAACGACTTTGTTCATCATTACTGTGATTTTTCCCAACATGTTAAATGACCCGGTAAAAACCACTGACTGGTTTAGATGTACTACATTTTACCAAAAATTAAGATTGTCTTTATTTCCTTGCATGGAAATAGATAGCTTGTATTTCAAAATAATATTGAATGGAATCTCATAAGGACGTTATCTCAGTAATAGCCTTAATAATATTGATAATAACAATAATAACTAATTTAGGGAAGTTATTCTAATGGTTTAAATAAGTTCAAGAACATATGAGAATAAATCGGTTATAAAAAAATAAGGCTTTACTTATTATGTCATAGATCTCTGTCTATACTTAAGTTATTTTAGTGTCCTTAGTGAAAAAAAAAAAACTGACATCAGCACAAGTGATATCAAATGTTAACCAAATAATCTAAAATTTTGGCGCATTGGTCAGTAAATTAAACAATTTTCTTACCAAGATCAACTTAGAGACATACACTATGTAGGTTACTAAATTAGCTAATTTAATAAATTTGGATGATACTGATCAGGTGATTAATATTTGAATGATAAGAGAAAAGGAAAATTATTGCAAGTAATGATTATCAAGACAGTGTTACTTTTTGTCGGGATGAAATATGGATCATCTGTCTTGACTTATTTTTGAGTCAAGATTTTTGATTGCTTGTTTGGTATGTCAGATCATTTGTTGCACTCTGACCCATGAATTGTGAATCCCAGTACCGTGTGCCAGAGCACTGCTGGGTGGCATCCCAGTATCTTGCTTCAATATCCATTCTTCGTCATTAGCCACTCTTGAATTATTTCAGCATGGTCAGCAGTGAGAAGAATTACATAGAACATCAGTCAGGGGTTAGACCAA